TATAGTCAAAATCTCTATCGTTGGCCAAATTTGTATCGTTTCTATCGTATATCGTTTATATCGCCCACCCCTAAGTATGAGTTTTCTCTGCAGTTTGTCTCACTGTTGTAAAGCATGCCAGGCCAATGTTACCTGTCATGGGCAGTTCTCTATGAGCTTCACTCTACATCAACATTAAAAAAAAAAAAGAGTGGTCAGACAATAGAAGGGTCATAAATCTGTTTTATTGAAACAATGTCTTGTTTTGTGTCTTTTGACACACTTTACTCTACCGATGAACAAATCATGTGAATGAGATGGGGAAAAAATAACAAGTCAAAACAACAAAAATGCACATTTGCTGGGGCTGGATTTTACTGAAGTACTTTGACTGAACAGATAAAAATCATGTGCAGTTTGAGTGTCAGTGTGCTTCTTCACCAGGATGGGACTTTGAAGCTGTGGGACTATGAATCTGGTTCTGAGCTGCAGAGTTTGGACCTCAGACAGCTTGACGAGACCACGAGCTCCGAGGCTGACAAAGACAAGGTATCCAGTGTGTTTCATCCTGTAACACCGAGACTACAACACAGGTTCAGCCTAACCTAACCTGTGTGGCTTCTCTAAAGCTGCACGATGTTGCCGGATGGAGAGGAATTGTCTCAGAAGTGTTAAAAATGCATAGCATGTAAACTAAGATTGACTAAAGTGTGCAGTGATGTGTTTCAGTTCTGTTGGTGATGATTTACACAGGATTTATTAAGTTCAGCTTCATGAATCGGATCTTTCAAAAAGCTTCCTGTGCACACAAATGTAACCTGCGTTCAAGTCCCGGTGTAAAACTGGGACATCTGGTCTTCCACTCATACCTGTATTTTGTATATGGCCATAAAGTGGCCTATAATGATCCTTCTACTAGAAAGCATAGGTTTACAAATTACAGACTGTACACAGTAAACTTTAAAGATTAATATATGGTTTGAATAACCTGCTGCTACATCCTGAAGTGTTTGGGATTTTTATTAAGCTAATATCAATGTTAGCCTGATTTTATCAGAAAATGGTAACCTAATTTCAAAGTGCTCTCACACATTACCTGGATTATATCTATATTGAAAATATACACGTACTCTTTCCAGTTGAGCCACAGTGATGTTCTGTATAGATATGATGTTCCCTCTGCAGCTGTGCACTGACTGACTTTTTCCTGCAGAAAAACGCCCAGCATGTAGAAGCAGCTGAGCCATTTGTTAATCTTTGAACTGTGAAGTGCAGGGGTAGGCAACTCCAGGCCTCGAGTGTCTTGCAGGTTTTAGATTGCACCCTGGGTTAACATACCTGAATCAAATGATTAGTTCATCATCAGGCCTCTGGAGAACTTCAAGAAATGCTGAGGAGTCATTTAGCCCTTTAAATCAGCTGTGATGGGTCATGGACACATCTAAAACCTGCAGGACACCGGCACTCGAGGCCTGGAGTTGCCTACCCCTGGTGTAGTGTCTGTAATTGGCAAATCTCTGTTTTCTAGTAGAGCTTTTTTGTTTATTTAGAGAAAGAAATGTCCACTTTTTTTGGAAAAAGAAAGCAGAAGGCCGAGCTTCACACTGGGACTTGAACACAGCTTACATTTGTGTGGATCTGTGTGAAGCTGGCAGTGTGTCTCACAACCCCACATGGGCGTGCAAAGTGATCTGTGCGTGTGAGGCGATTCGTCCACTTGCATTTAAGATGTTGTGAGCGAAAGGGAAGTGTGTGTAGTTTTACACATGTGCACGCACAGACGGCTTTTTCAGAGAAAAATGATCCGATTTATGAAGCTGAACTTGAACTGTGATCACTTTGGGTACACGCATGTGTAAAATTGGTTTGTGTGTGCTCAAATTGGTTAGTATTTGTATGCAGATTAAAGCACACGCTTGTGAGTCCTTAGACATTACACACAAATCATTGCACACTTCCTAGTTTTTGCTGATGGATCATACTGTAGACATTTGTGAGTGAGAAAGGTAACTGGAAAGGAAAAACTCAATGCATCATGGGAATCCCCCGGCAGCCTACGTCTATTGCAGCATAACTAAGGGAGGATTCAGGGTCA